TCTCTCTCTCTCTCTCTCTCTCGCCCCACGCCTGGCTCTCCCGCAACGTCCCTGGTGTCCCGGCATCGCCGCATTCCATCCAAAATTCGCCGCCATGTCCGGAACGCGCGAGTCCACGGTAATATCCATCCCGGGAACGCCGTGACGACGGCGATGCCGCTCGAGGTACCCACCGTTTTTTCTCTCTCTCTCTCTCTCTCTTTCTGTGTCTGTTCCCTTCCCCGCCCTTCCGGGCTCTCTCACCTGTCCTCGCGCCCTTACGAGAGGAGTTTCATTAATGCGCGAGACATGTGTATGTGCGAAAGTCCCCTCGAGAAAGCGCGAAACTCGAAGCTTGTACCGCGCTTCTCATCCGCGTTCCAGGATGACACACGTCGCGGCCGACGCCATGCTGCGAGCGGCCGCCGCCGATTCCGCGGATCGCGCAATAAGCCTCCCCCCACCTCCCAGTCCACCCACTGATCGGTCGGTACGCGAACCGCGGAAGTTTCCTGACACCCTTCGACCGGTAAACGTCCCGTCCTTATCGACGCGCCGTGACGCTTTCACGACCGCGGCAATTTTCAAATTCTCGACCCGATACACTCTTCAGTACAACAGATACAATATAATAGGCGATTTTTGGCGATTGTTTGGTACATGTAGCAAAGTGTACCCGAGTGTACACTCGGCGTCGTGAATGCTTTTACATGATTGCTATCGCTAAAGAATCGAAAGCTAAATAGTCTACTAACAAGAATAGTCTTCAGGGTCGCCAGCAACAATCAACATCGAATTTGGTTGACCGTATCTAGCAATTTTTATGTATTAGTTACTCGCTACGTATCGACCACGGGTTTTGGTCCTTTTCAAGCGATCTGACTGAGAAAGTCACCTTTCTAGCAATGTTCTCGTGTAGCAAACCTCGACGCGGAACTTTTGCAGCATTTTATGACTAAAGACAATCTATTTTACATCACCAAAATACACGCGATTCGTACACGACTGTCTCAGTCAGATCGCTCGGAAAGGACCAAAACCCATGGTCGAAACGTAGCGAGTTCTAACACATGAAAAATTGTCAGATACGGTCAACCAAATTTGATGTCCTAAATAATCTACTTAATGCACGCAACACGTCCGATTTGTGATTACAAAATTATAAATTAACAGGGAATTGTATAATCGCATACGTACTGATTTACGAAAAAATCAGCAACTCACATTCTTCTCTCTTAATGATTTATTGAGAAAATTGTATTTATAAAATAATAACTTTGGTAAGACCATTAGAAGAATTTCATATGTTAAGTTTTTCTCCTTTTCGCGTTGAATCTCCCGATATCGAACTGATCGCCGGGCAAACGGAAATGGAAACTTGCGTTTTAGTCTAAACTAATTATTACACAAGGTACGAGTCGCTCATTCGAGAACGAAAGTACCTCGCATGTACATCGTAACAAGTTAGTAAACTTTACAGATCTCTTAAAGTTTCAGGTATTGGTCACTTAACATACAATCCTCCTCATATATGTATAATATATATTTGTTTAGGAAAAAACACGACTCTCTTATAAAATTACTCCAAATGTAATAGAAACTCGCGTTAGATATTTTGAATTTCATTGCTCATTAAATTTAAAATGTACTTTATCTCATAAACGCTCGTTGTCCAAGAAGAGACAATGGGAAAAAAAAGGACTCTGGAAGATCAAAATAACGACGCGATCATTCAATGTATGGTCGAGTAAACGTGCTCGAGCACTATTCGATGAAGTACATTTAATCGACTTGTATAATACGACGGAAAGTTATCGTTGATTCTCGAGACATGGGTAATACGTAAATGCTGACAACAAACGAATAATTAGCTTTGTTTCTAATAAATGAAAAACAGATCTCTACGATGGTTAGTTGAGTCGAAACTAATTTACACAATTGCTAATGATTCTTTATCTACATGCAATTTTTGTGTTTGTTGAACATCCTTAGTCTAAGCCCGAATCCATACTCGGAGCTTACGCTACGTTTTCACCATCAAGCTGATAATGATGACGTCGAAGAGCGGCTAGACGTAATCTCTCGGTCTCCAGAGCCTGTTCCAGTTCCAAGATTCGCACTTGCGCCTCCATTTCGAGCCTTTTCGCCTGATGTAAACTCAGATTAGACATGTCTAGATCTTCTGTAAAATTGGAATACAGAAATATTAAGATGCAATCGCGCGATGCGGCGTAATATAATAATTCAATACGCTTTCGAACAAAATACCATTTTCCTCGACAAGATGATTGCAACTTTTAGCAGTCGCCACAACGTTCGCCGTAGCTTGAGTCACCTCTCTCGAGGCTTTAGAGAGTTCAGTCAAATTGTTACTGTTTCTGTCAGCCTTGACTCTACTAGCGACTACCAATTGTGCAGTAGACGCTGCTATTCCTTGCGAGGCAACGACCAATTGCTCGAATTTGCCGTTGCCCAACACAACTTTGTCCGCTGCTTCTCTGTAGCGATAGTTGTATACAGACATCAACATTTAGAAAAACTATTAGGCAATTACTCTACACTTACAACAAAAAATTGGCGCCCATAGCAATCGCTTTCGCCGCCGAGATGAGACCCTCGGACCACTGATGGTTACGTTTGTAAAACTCAGTTGCGGAAACAGTTCCCTGAAGTAATATTGTTTAGATTTCCAATTGAAATTTCTCTTTACGTCAATCATTTATCTACCATTCAGTACATCGGATATTTCCAAATGATTGTTAGAATCAACTTCTCGTACCTTTCCTTGATCTACAATCTCTCTCTGCAGAAAGCGCGACTTCTGCACTAATTTCCTTATGCACTTCATTAGATCCGTGCAGGAATCCAGGATCTGTTCGTTCACTTTCAGTTTCACACCCGAGTCCGCCGCGCGAGATTTATCCAACATATCCTATCGAAAGGTAAGTCGAGGAGGATTATTAAGATCTCGTTTACCCGGTTCTTTTTCTATCTTGCAAGTATGTTTATCATTAAGCACCTGTATTTTTGCAACCGTTTCTTCTATAGCTTTATCCATACTCTGCAACTCGCTTTCTACTAAAGTCCCGATAATTTCCACGTTGTTCTGAGTAGTCGATAACGTACTTATGAGAGACGAAATCTTTTGTAACTGACTTTTGACATTTGCAATTTGCGCACCGGTCATTGAGGACTTCTCTTTGATATAACTCAACATAATTAAACCTTGCGAGCCTAATTGTTTGCATTCATCGGCAAATCCTACAAGTGTACGACGGGTCTTACAGAAAGCGTGAAGAAAATTGTTACACTCCAGAATATCTCGTCAGTGTCTATACGTTCTCAAAGTATCTTGCCCTCGAATACTTAAAGCATTACCATGCGATTATAAGAGACTTACTGTCGGCTATACCAATATCCGTCGATGTATTCGAAGTGGACTTTGCATATATCAGATAGAGAGCCAGAAAGTACGCGCCATGTACAGCGGTACGTATTAGCGCTTTCCCCTTCGTTGTATCGAGCATATAATTGTTGTACGCCTCCTCCAAGTCATTAAACGACTTTTCTGTCGGCTCCAGTAAACTTCCGAGATAATCGGGCGTGCAAGTTAACGCCGATATGGCTGGATTATCGATCGTATGCATCGCATGGTGCATGATAGATTCCGCCTCTGATATAGCGTTCACTGAAACAAAAAATCGTTATAATGTCCCGCGCAAACTAACTAAAAAGATTTATTCAATTGCGTTATTGCTCACATAATAAATCAAACAAAGCCGTGTTAGCGTCCGTTTTCACTTGATTATGGGATCGCTCGGCGTCGGCCTCCAAATTTACTATCCGTAAATCCAGCTCTTCCTTTTGCACCAACAAGTCATGGAGATCTCCTTCCAACGCTGTTTTCTCGGACGTTATAAAATCTATTTTCGCTATTAAAGCCTACAACGCAACGAATTCTCTCGTCAGCGGATACGTGGGAAAATAATTAGGGGAATTACAGCGCCAATTGCAAATGTTAATTTACCAGATTTTCAGTTTGAACAGCGTCGAGCTTCTTTCTCACATCCTCCAGATCTTCGCGCGCTTGCGCTACCCGCTGCGTTTCTTGTTCCGTCGACGCTTGCCCTTGAAGCAACTCCTGCAATCGTTCTTCCGCTTTGGTCGTCCGACGTTCAGATTGCTCTCGTAATATCTTGATTCCTCCCAATTCCTTATCTAGCTCAGCTTTCTTTCGTGCAATAATAATGTCGTGAATAAAATGATGGTAGATAATTACTTTTATCTTACCTCAAATACGCACCTTCCTGATTAAACTGATATGTTCTTCTCTCAGTTTCGAGTAAACATCCTTGAGTTTTTTAAACTTTTCCTCCAACACCTCATTTTTCCCTTGAGACATTTAACAAAAGCAAAACCGTTACCGGTCGTTTGAAAGCATACAACAAATTTTTAACAGTACCAGCTGCTCAATCGTGAAGAAATTACAAATAAAAATCTCACCTTCTATTTCTCGAATGCTTGTTAACGTAGCAGCGTTTTCCTTCATCAATTTCTGACAAGTTTGCTTCTCCGTCACAATTTCATTGCTCTACAACATTTGCACAACGTGAGTTGACGAAAATAGAACGAAATTACTAAACATACATGCTGGGCGCTTACCTTCGTAGAAAGTGTCGATTCCAATTCTAAAACGCGATTTCTAAAATCCGCAACTATCTGTTGATGGTCCATTAATAAATGATTTACTTCTTGCCTTTGGCGAATGTTTTCTTGATACAAATGATCAATAAGGCTGTCTCTGGAAGAGCATACGTTTGTGAGAGAGTAATCACAGGAATTATCGTATCTTGCTTTTCAATTAGGAGAAACGAACCAGAAAGTGATACAGAGAAGGGGAAAAAAATGTTACCTCTCTGCAAGAATATCGGGTGATATTGAGCCATTTCGCGTATTCACAGAATCCAACTGATCGCCGGTTAGTGATCCTGTATCAGACGTATCAATAAGGTTATCTATGGCAGTCTCGGGATCTATAGATTCCTCGGGCGGAAGTACCACAATCGGCGTGACGTACGTTCGCAACTCGGCTTGTATTAAAAAGTTGGGTGGCTTCTGAGATACAAATACAAGGAATATAGCATGCGGATTCTCCTGCGAATCGATCCAAAGGTGTATCAATTGAAGATCTTACCTCAGGTAACGACGGAATTGCTATCAAATGTTTAAAATACTGCATGTGCTTGATGGTATTGTAAAAGCTCTTGAGCTCGTGGAACTGCTTCGAGAATCTATCGCGGTGTCCGGTCAACGTGTCCGCCGGGAGCGCGCCGTGGAGCTTAAACAGGATCTTCACGCAGCAATCGTACAGCTGCGAGGCGTCCTGGATACACGGAATCAAAGGCGCGAGTCGACACTGGCCGCACGGCGTCATCGAATTGGATCGTGACAGATCCAGAGAACCGAAAACTGCAATTGCATATAAAGCCTAATCTACAATGTGCTTTCTGCATCTAGAAACATTCTATTTTATGTAAACAAATCAAAACGCTTAACAAACTTGTCGACAATTTACGATTGTACAATGTATAATGCACAATTTATCAACTTGCCCAAATTTTGTAAGCGTATTTATTGGCTAGGAAATAGAATGTTTCTAGACGCAAAGGACACGTTGTAGATTAGCCTTAAAGAGCCTACACTCTAGGCGGGCGTCTCACCAGTTCGGCCACTGAGGCATGTGGTAATATTAGTCGCAATAAAACCTATCGAGTTTCACGCTCTGACGTACCTGCATGTTGTAAATTCAAAATGTCGTCCATGTAATCGAACATCTCGACGGACATCTGGAAGCTAAAGGAGGACAAGTTATATATGTGCCACGTTTGCATTCGGCATAAAGTTACGAGGAGGCCGGGACTCACTATATATTGATGTCATTTTCCCCAATTGCCTCGAGCTCTTCCGGCGTTACTTGCAAATTCCCAGGTAGGCGCGGATTCCGCTTGTGGTAATCTAATTTAGTTATCAGCAGTCTTGCGTACAGCTGTATGAGACGACCGTAGCCCTCTCTGAGGTGTTGCCAGAGCTTCCCGATGTCCTCCAGCTTGCCGCGATACCGCTGGGAGTCGACGATGACCCGAGGGTGGCCCTCGCGCAACACCTTGTGCAGCACATGGCAGAATTTCCACGCGACGATCTGATTCTCCTGCAACGGCTGCCTCAGCATGTACGTCCAGAAGATGCAGCCGCTCTTCTCTCGATACGTGCCGATGATGGCACCTGTTGGCTCATTAAGGAACTTTCCTCTTTCTCCCCTGGGCGCACATCTCTCGAGCGAATAATAAATGCTACGATATATCTGGCACTTTAGATTGGAAAAAAGGATACTGCGGACATGTTTCTCTTTGACCGGCGTCTCTGCCGCGTTTACAGCCTTCCCGATGCTGATACTCTATAAACAATAAACAATTGTACAGTTACACGACAGAATTTCCAGACAGTCCCTCGTCTACTTTTACGCTACACTCAGTCTCGGGGTTCAACCTTCTATTACACTGGCTCATAACGAACTCTCCGTCCCTTCGTCCCCTTCGCCAGTCGTCGCCTCGCATTTTAATTTTTCTATGTGTCGCGCATGCCCTCGCGCCAATACCTGTCAGTTAAACATCGCCCTAGGCTCATGTCACAATATTTGCTTGTCCCTAGACTATCTCTGCCGTCAGCAGTTGTACTTTGCCTCTTAAGGTCTGTGTCCACGATGCTAGAACTTGGATCAAGTTCTAGCATCGCGGACATAGGCCTTTACAACGTTAACTGTTTCGAAAGGGACGCCCGGTGCGGTCCGCATAATTCCCAGTTCAGGATATGAGATAATTGTGATATTCGTACGTATATAGGCGCGAGCTCTCTCGACTCACCAGTTGATGAAGCTGTTTGTCGGTCAGCGGTATTGTGGTCATGATGATACCATAATAAATTCACCGCGGTGAAAAGAAAAAAAAGGAGAGCGAGATACGAAGGCGCGCGAGCGCGCGAAACGACGGCGATATCCGGGGGGCGCACGCAAATACGGATGTCGGCACGTCGACGTTCACAGGTCGCCCCGTGTCATCCCCCGTCGACTACACGTAGGACCCCGTGACTCACGTCGCAAGCCGCCGGCGTATATTATCTGCGAAGCTGCAAGTTGAAAATTATCGTTATTCATAATTATCGTGCGCGGAGGAGCGCGCGATACCGCCCGCGCTCCGCCCCCCCCCCCCCTCGCCCCGCTCGCGGGGGATGGAGCGACTGGGGAGTCCCCCTCCCGAGTTGTTTGACCTCGGCGGGTGCGGCGTATGGTACCTGAAGCCAGCGAGGCACGGGCGCGAGCTCCGCGCTCAGGTCGGCCCTTGTCTGCACGCGATCCCGTCGCCGGGCCAGCGGGGACATGGCTCGCGCGACGACACGTCGGGCCCGCGTCCTCCCTCACGAGCGCGACAGCCGCGGGCGCGCCATACCGCGCGCGACTCCGCTCCGCCCGTGGGTGTCGTCGTTGCCCGCCGTCATGCGAGCGGATCGGAGCGGATCCGCGTGGAGCGTGGCCGATGACTCGCGGCGAGCCCTTCCCTCTCCAAATTTCTTCTCTCTTCCTTCTTTTTTTTTTTGTTTCCCTTCTCCCGTCCGCCCGAACGCGCGCGGGAAGGAGGAGACCGGTGGAGCGACGGATAACGGACGCGCGCGGAGAGAGAAGAGAATTGGGATAACAAATAATCGGCACCGCACGACACCACACGCAACACCGGAAAGCCGCTCGCGGGATACATAGAGCGCCGAGCGAGCGGCGAGCGCAGCGGCACCGCCATCTAACGGCGGCCGAGACGAATCTTCTGTTTCTTGAGGAATATCTTTTACCGACACAGTCGGATGTAGTTTTGGCGCTTGTTACAATTCGTTTCCTTCGCTTTTGCGCGCAAAATAATACCAGAGTAAGCTGTGGACTGTGCAGTAAAACACTCGGTTAGAAGTCGAATAAAATCTTCAATTCGTAGCTTTTGTTAAATTTGAAATTGGCTTTATAATATTGCAATATTGTGCGGGAGAATTTTGCAATTTCAAATCTTGTACGAACTACAATTCGAAAATGTCAAATATCTTTTTATTCGACTTCTGAACTGAGTGTTTTAATAAATAACAATGCCTCGTATGGCCCCTTCTATTATTCTTTGAGTGTTTCAAGTACGAAAATGTTCTGATATGCGGTCCGCAACTTATCCCGGTATTATTTTGTGCATAAAAGCCAATAAACAGATTTACAAGCGTAAAAATTATATTCCAATGTGTCGGTAAAAAAAAAGATGACTTGAACAATTCCTTTTACGCAAAGTGAAAGTGTGAAATAACGTAGTTGACAAAAATATCAAATCGTATACACGTTGTATATTGATAGGAGTAACTGGCAACACAAATCATTTTTTAATTTCACGCAACACTCTTGCGAATAACACATCATCGTTTTACATCATTGCCGATCAATGTTTCCAGCTGCTTTAAGTTTCCAATTGTAATAATTCCAAATAAATGCATCCTTTTACATTCAGTAAAACAATTTCATTCGATTATCGCAAAGGTTCGTCGTATCCTCTTGGCCTAACTAATTCTTAGTCCCTAAGTTACGGAATTGTAGGATGTGTGCGTTTCTTACATTGTTTCGATGTTTTACTTGTAGGCAGGAAAGATGTGAATGCACGTAATCAACGTTGAGATGCGGTCGCATAATTGCGAAAGATGCCTTCGCAATTACATAAATGCGTGTAATCAACTTTCCCTCAACAATCTTAACAATGAACAAAACAGCACGTAATATACATACATATACAAGTACACAGCCATTTTCTATTATATCGTAGGCTCACAATAAAAACCTCACTTTCATTATATGGTTAAAACGCATTACACGTGCATACAGAAACTCAGTAATGCAACGATAACTATAAACGCGCACGAATAAATTTTTAAACTGGGCGAACTCGCCGTCATTTTACAGCGAAGTATTTTAAAAAATTAACTACATAATGTACTGATGATGCAAATGAGTTAAACGCAACGCAACAGCGCGTACACGCGTAGTACAATTAGCATAATTTATTAATTTATTCTGCGCGAGCAATAAGTCCATTAGCTTCTGGTTGAAGGAATTCTGCTACAATAGCCGAGACCATTTCGCTGAGGGTGCTTTTCAACTTGGTCAAGTCCCTAAAATCACAGCAATGTATTATACAACGCGGTGATATAAAATTCACATGCTAAAAATTGACTGCATTAAAATGTAAAGCAGCCAAAATAGAATTACAATATAAAGGAATGCCATTACAGGTTGCGTGTAGAACGATTAAAATGTCGACTTAAATGAAGCCGGACATGTAAATGGCTATTCTTGCAAACTTGTAAACAGCGAGGAACTTACTCTCCAGGAGATCCGCATAATTCATTGTAGTATTTTATTTTAGGTTCTGTGCCACTAGTTCTTAAAGTGGTAACCAGTCCATTTTTGAACGTGAAGGTGATCATTTGGCTGGATTTCGACACCGGCAGAACTGCTTTGTTATCAGGTTTTGTATTGTCGTATCCAGTTGTTAAGTCTCGAATGCCAGTTATTATATATTTTCCTTTAAGAATCCCGCTTGGGTACTGCCATTAAACAAGTTACAAATTAGAATTTAAGGCAGGAGAAAAAGGAAAGAGAACAAGAAAGAAGAGACAAAACTTTCGACACCGAGACACGAAAAGAGAGTTTTTAAACTTAAAAAGAATTCTTATTTTTATGCGCAATATTGTCCTTCTGCTTGTCATCACTGTCTCTGACATGACAAGAGAAATGCAAACGAGTCTGTTTTTACACGCCGAAGCAAGCAATACCAACTAGCTGAATGATATAGGCCGGTATTCACAGTCAGATCTTATATTCAAGACCGCCTTAAGATCATCTTTAGATACTCCGTAGCCAGTGAAATGTGTTGCATGCAGAATTTTTAGATATTGTAAATTCAAGACGGTCCTGAACACAAAATGACTGTAAATACCGGCCCTAGTGACTAAAAAAGAAATTCACCTTAAAAGTACTTACTTAATCGTGCTTATATCAGTTTCTTCCTCAAGAAATGGAGTGAGATGATATAACGCTAATACTACTGGAATAAACATAACGGCAAGAAGCACGGAAGGCAGTAGCGTCAATGATACAACAACGACATTTACATACTTGCTGTAGATACTGTTTTGTGTCATCTTAACGAACATTGGTAGACGACGGGAAAGAAAGAGAACAGAAAATGTTAGAAAATTTCGTTAGAAATCACTTTGTTCGTGCGTAATTAGGCGCGCCCAAACATGTTAATGCACTACAACACGAAACACTGCGTTAGGCTTGAAAAATAAGCTGCGCACTGAAGAATAAAACGGTACGTTCTCTAAAAAGAAAATGACTAACGTTACACGCTTCGCGTTTTACACACAGTGTTCGTTATTATTATTTTATCACGAGAACAACGATAAGGCGCCATTACCGACACAACTGTCACCTACGATGACACATGCAGAAGTACATCCGCGCGTCGGTGTTATTTCACTTTCAAAGCGGTTAGCCAGCTTATGCTACCTCATGCATCACATATACTTGTTGACCTTGCAAACATATACCATTAAACACAGATTAGAATACATTAGTTGTTTATGAAGCGGCGCTCGGCGTTAGACTCGCGGCAGAAAACTCTAGCCTTATATAATCTAGTGTATCTCTATACCAGACTTTTTATACTGTCTGATATCTACCTAATCTCGCTAATCAGAACCGCGATTAAATGAACTCGTCAGACGTGTCTTTTTATAGACGTCTTGAGCGACGGTTTTGCAAGCGATACGATTGCATACCGTGCGATATCAAATTCTCTACTACATACGTATTTTCTAAATATACTTTTAAAAATATAAATGTTGTTACATTTATATTTTTTAAATTGTATCATGTGTGTTGCGTAGATAGAAGACAGATTAAAGTGCAAACAGATGGCAATTTAGACAATTGGCATGCGAGCTTTTTAAATCTTAAGCCTATCACACAATGCCAGGCAACAGGCAATAGGAATAGAGAATAGAATTTTTGACGCGTTGGATTCGTTAGAAATTTTCTACCAACCAATCCAACGCGTCAGAAATTCTATTCCCTGTTCCTGTTGCCTGGCATTGTGTGATAGGCTTTACTCATCAGACGGAAGGGGAGAATGTCTTATTAGAATGAAACCGAGATTAAGACGATACTTACTGTATCCGGTTGACCCGAGTGATTCCTCAGTCGTTCAAATATCGCTTTAATGGTATCTGGGTCGTGACATATCCAATAGGAATTATCGCTGACATGGTGGCCGTACCTACACATAGCGTGGAATATATAAAATATATGAATAAACTTGCGTTAAAATTTGTCTCAGACTTTACATAAACGCGACGTCACGCACTCTTCGTATATCTCCTCCAATTTATCAGATAAAGTCAATCCTATCGTTTCAAGATAAGCTGCTAGCTCCGCCGCGCGAACACCCGCGCTAATACCATCCTTGTCCAGGACCTTCGAGCCGCACATGAAACCTATAGCTTCCTCGTACGCGAACAAGACGTCCTTGTTGGCCTTCATTAACTCTATAGCTTTGTTGCCCATCCACTTGAAGCCCGTTAAAGTTTCCTGCCGAAAAAAATGAAATATTGTCATTGGACAAAATTGTAGAAATCTTATAAAATTTTACCATATCAAACGTACAAACCTCGAAATTGAAACCTTCTTTCCTGCCCATTGAAGCTAGGATTTTGCTGGAAACGGTAGATGCTAGCATATATGTTTCTCGCATATCGACATCGGGATGCGATACTTGATAAGTGTGAGTCATCCACCAGCCCAGTAACGCGCCGAGTTCGTTCCCGGAGAAAACATGCCACTCTCCGCTACAAAGATCGTCAGACGTGTAATGTATTTCTATTGCACGGCCGTCGCAGTTCAAGTACAAATTCATTGCGAGTTCACGAACCTCTCCGTCTTCGTTGCGCACGCGAGTCTGTCGGCGTCGGGATCGTTAGCGAGTATTATGGACGAGTCGCTTTTATTTGCCAGCTTTATGCTGAGATCCAGGGCGCTTTTCCCTTCCTCCGGATTCGGGAATTTCACCGTGGAAAATTCCGGGTCTGGCAACTTTTGCTCCTCCACCGTTATGAACGGCTGAAACGGATAGTGCGCATTGAGTACCCGCCTTTTTACAAAAGCCACGCTTTCAACACGCTAAGGTGCTACCTTAAAATTCGCTGCCTCGAACGCGGCAGTCATGTAGTCATGCCCGACACCGTGCATGGCAGTGTATATGAATTTCAACGTGGTATTCCTATTGACCTCGGGATACAGAACGTTATTTTTCAAGTCTCGGTAGTAATGCCGCATGATATCGTCCCTTGGATCATCGTAGCAGCAACTTTCGTAGATGTGGCTCACGTCCCACGAGGACTCGAGCGGTTCGAGGCTGTCAAGAATGTAGCTCTGGATCTTCTTGTCGTGCGGCGGAATGATTTGCGCCCCGTTCTCCCAGTAGACCTTGTACCCGTTGTCGTCCTTGGGATTGTGAGAGGCGGTCACCATGATACCGGCCGCGCATTTGTACCTCAAGATAGCGTAGGGTATGAACGGCGTGGGGCAGATTTTGGAGAATAAATAGACCTTGATGCCATTGGCTATGAAAATTGCAGCAGTCAACTCGGCGAACCTGAAAGATCGACGGATTCTCTTACTACGAATCACTGTGAGTTGGATCAACGGTGCATCGCGGTCAATATTCACCTTTTGCTATTGTAACGGCCGTCGTATCCTATCGCAACACCCTTCTGCGCAACATCGAACGCCGTATCCATCAGGTATCTCGTTAACCCTTGGCCAGTCTGCACGATAACTAGATCATTCATCTGGCTGTAACCTGGTCCCATGCGACCCCGAAGACCCGCCGTTCCGAATTCAAGTCTCTTGAGGAACAGCTTGGACAACACTTTCGTCTGTCCCTTGTCCAAGTATTCAAGTATCTCGTCCTCCGCCTTCGGATCCTGCCAGCGCAAAAGTTTGTAACTTGAATATGTTCAGCGCGTTACAACACGCTGACAATAGGACACGTTCGGCGAGTGTCTACGAGCGTAAACGCCATACCTTGTTCCACTGCAGCCACTCGACGATCTTGCCATCCAAAGTGCCGTCGCCGGTGTTTACCGAAGGGAGAGCCATGGTACCAGCGGTGCTCCGGTCAAAACAGACACGTTAAATCCCTCGACGAGCGAGTCCGGTTCGACGCGATTGCAAATGTAACTTCTCCCCGGCAGGCGAAAGCGCCCCGAGATCACTTCTGTGCCCGCTTACACCAAATTTTCTGTAACGCATACGCAACGGGGTACATTTGAGATAAGGGCGAGTTGTGTAATCGGCCGCCAACCATTCGGACACGACGGAGAGGCAAGTTGAATAAGAAACGATAAGAGTAACGTAAAGAGCCTGCTCGTCGTTGTCCGATCTGTATTATCTGCATCGACCGGATGAGCGGCTCGATAAGCGACGGCGGCGGCGGCGACGACGAGGAGCGGACGTAGGTTACGCGAGCGTCGCCGCGTCAATTCTTATCGGACGCGCGTAAATTATCTCGCCTTATCTCGCGCGAGCGAAGGAGGCCCGGGATACGTCGCGCGGGTCAGTTCGAATTTACCTCCGATCTCGATTCACCGGCCACGTCGTCGAGTCGCCAAGGGCCGCCTTCGCCGCGAGACGCCGGCGGCGTCCATCGATAAGGGAAGATACCGCGGCAATGACGTATCCGTCGGACAGGCGCGCAGTTTTATCGCTAGGTGGGTGGGTGTGTTTTCTTTGTTGCGCGCGGCTTGTTTATATTATCGCGGGCGTAGCCGCACAATCGTGCCGGGAGAAGAGAACCTTGAAGTTTTTCTTCCCGACTCGGCCACGTGCGACGCGGCGTGAAGCACGGCGCGTTATCGAATCGCGCGATACGATCTCGATTTTTTGTTCAGCAATCGATCATTAATGCGAGGGCGTGAAAAAGGCGCGCGCGCGCGCGAATAGCGCGCCGTTAGGCGGGCGATAAAAACAATTTGCGCGGCTGATTCTTTCATCATATCGAGCAAAATATGATCGATTTGCGCGCGCGGCCTCGCGCATTTCGCGTCGCGCGCGCCGGTTCGTCCCGAAGTCGGCCACGGTCGAAAACTGGGGGTCAATTCCGTATCTTAAGTGTCGGTAATGGGATTCACGATTCATTATCATACAAATGCTTCGCAAATAAGTGTTTTTTTTTCAGATACACTTTAATGTCACATACGCATTATAGTACACATGACGCTGCATCTTTCCCGCCTTTATCAATCCACGTGGGACGATAACGATTTCTCTCGCGAGGTTCAAAGAATTTGTTTCCCTCTCATCACAGACTACGTTTCCACCGAGGGTCAGAGTCGGGCTAGAGTCGGGTCAGAATC